GGAAATATATGTATGAAAAGACCTGAAATTCCACTTCTGTTGTTATCTACCTGCTTGTTTCGAAGAAAGTTGTCCTCACTTTTTTAGTTTGAATGGATATGTAAGACATTTTTTTGGGCTACAAGAAGATTCAAAGACAGTTCTGAAGAATTTAAAAAGCCTTTTCTTAAAGGTAATGCATTACTGACTATAAAATGTATTATAATGAGTTAAACTATGAAGAAAATTAAGTATAAGTAAAGTATACTAATTTATTTCCAGCAACAGTTCAGGTTCTCTAAAGTGCAAAACTCCTTTAGTTACAAGTATTTATACCATGTAGCTGCCAGGATGCAACTACCAGGATTTAACTGCCTTAAACTGCAGGTAACGGCTTAATTTCTTCTTTGGAAGGGAATGAATGCTCATATCTGCATTTAATAATTATGGTTAGTACTCAGCCTACCACTGGAAGGAAGTGAGAGAAGCAGTTGTTCACTAAGAATGCAGAGAGATTGCAAGAATACCATTTCTTATTACAGTAAAGTTTAACTAGGTGCAATTATCTGTTTTTATAAAGAGAAAGCAGTTGGTAATATTCTATATTCTATACATTAACTAAATTTAATAATATAATCAAGTAAGTATTGCAGTATTTTAGTTTTCATGTCACTGTCCCCATCTGCCAGCTGATAAATGCCCTGATGCATTGAGCCTGAAATTCAGTTAGATTCCTGTAACTGAATCTGAACGTGTAAGGATCATGACTGAAACTGCAGTTTGCATTGGAACGTTCAGTGCGGTGAAGGCACTTTGGGAAGTGAGAATACACAAGATAAATGAGGAATTACAGAAAGAAAAGGAATTCAGACAGAGGTCTGCAGGAAGGTAGGTAAATTGTAGATGTTTAAGTATGTGAAAAGCTAGACCATATGTTACATTTCAGAAGACTATAACTGGTCTTTTCAAACTCATCCAGAGTCTAATTTTTTAGTTGTTCCTCCAGCAGAATTCCCACTGGTTAGAATCTAGCAGTATGGTCTGGTCAAACCAAGAATTGTGCTCTGTGACAAAAATGTGAGCATATATACTAGATCCCCTAAATTCAGATATTAAAATCCACTCCTGGTGGATATTCTGACCAGTGGAGAATTAATTTGTTATGCTTTCTTCTCTATGGAGGCATTAACAGGGTCACTTGGTCTTCTTTCTCACTAGCAATTCAATGAAATGTGAAAAAAATTAGCATTTTATTTTTCAGAATCTTCCTAATTTTTCAGATGTATTTGAAACAGAATAACAAATTAAAAAGTTATTAATGGAAAATACAAGCAAAAAGAAAGAGAATTTGCCTAATTTTCATAATTCTTGTTTAAGTCCCCTTTGGAAAGCCAGCTAAAAGGATCCCCAGCTGATTGAACTTGTTTGATCACACATTTGGTGGAACTGAAGGCTTTTTTTTTAGGAGACTTCTTCAAAATTAATGGCTTTGGAACTTCATTTCACATGACTATATTCTGTTGCCCTGCTGCAACGTAATAAAAGTGAATGAAGTTATGTCTTCCTTCTGACTGTAAATTTGAAGAACTGTAAAATAGAATTCCTATAAACTACATCAGCCAAACATTACTTTGTTGTTGTCTTCCCTCAGATTGATTGATAGTATATTTAGCATCCACATAAAATAAATGTTGTTTGACATCCAAAAAGGGTACTGTCTCTTTGTTCCAGAAAATAGAATGGATAGTAATTATTGCCTGTATTCATTGTTGCACCACTCGCAGCTCTTCTTTCCATTGTAGGCTACTACTTGTCTTGGAGGAGAGAGCTGCTTTAGCAAAGCTCAAAGAAAAAGTTATTAATGAAGACGGAAGAGCAATTTTAAGGATAGAGGAAGAAGAATGGAAGGTAGTGTTGATAGGAATGAATGTTGCGTGTGTTGAATGGCTGATGCATTAGAAAACTACTATTTACAACTTTACACTCACAGTTGTACTATTTTTAATCGATGAAGTGCTCACTGTGTGCTTTGTTAACAACGATTGAGACACACTGTTGTGAGTGTAAAAACAACCTGATTTTTTTTAGTCTTGAATATTAAGTATTACTCTGCAAAAATATAGCCCAAAAGGCTTTTTTGCATTAGAAATTATTTACACTGCAAATTATGAGTTTAATTACGTAAATCCTCATTTAACATTAACACACCAGAACTACTGAAATGTATCAAGGTGAAAACCCTCTGTGTTCAGGTACATGAAAATATTTCTTATTGTTTACTTTCTAAGAGTGAAAATGAGCCAGTAGATTCCCAGAATACTATTATTCTTGTTTCTAATGCACCGGGGAAAGTGGCTAGCTGTAGAATCAACAACAGAGTGGAAACTGACAGTCTGTTCCGAGCCACAGAAATGCAGATGCCAGTTCCTATGAAGTGATGAGAATGAGACCATGTTGAGGCCAGTAAGTGACAGCCACACCCAGCAATACTCTGGTGATCCATAGGCCCGTGCTCCTTGTTCAGAACTTGTAGCATACAGACATTGTCATTTTTCTGTCCTTCAGCTCTTCTGCTCTCAGTTGCTCACTATTTTTCTTTACAAAATAGGAAATAAAATTCAGATCACCATTTAAATGCAAAAAGCTATTTAGAGCAGTTTCAGCATCATTATATTGGCTTTGTTTAAAGGAAAAAAAAAAAAAAGCAAACAAAAGCAAGCCTGAGGCTTTTCAGGCAATGACAATAGTGCAGATATCTAAATCCTGGGACCAAAAAGTGGGTAGGTTAAATCTGTGGTCAGAATGACTCGCATTGGTGGTGTTCATTTCGGGATGCTACAGTATTGCTTGAAGAAGGAAAGATTTTTTTTTTTTTTTTCTTCCCCCTCTCCCTCCAGTCACAAAGCTATTACTGTTTCAAATAAAACTTCTACTTAAGCCTGTATTCTTCTTGTACACTACGCTGAATTTCTTCTGGTTCGTATTTCTATATTTCTTGTCTTAAGACACTACCTTCGTGCTTACTGAAACTAGTCCATCTCCAGGAATGGCAGCTTCATAGAACTAGTTTGCAGAAAATTCCTCAGTTCATTGGAAGATTTCACCATCTTGTTGTTCTGGATCTATCCCGGAATTCCATTGAAAATATACCTAAAGAAATTGGTGAGCTCTGCTTTCTTTTATTTTAAGCTCCTTTTCTAGGAAAATTAATCTTACACAAACATGCCATTTTTGTGCACTTTGCCTGTCTAACAATTCTATTGGGTAGTTAGAAAACAGATGATTTAAATCTGACAGTGAGATAGAGATCTTAAGACCATGGATTCCCTATAAATTAAAAAAATGGCTGGATCTTTACGAATGCTCCCCATGAGAAAAAAAACTTGTAACCACAGCAGATACTAGATATCAGAATGCAGCTAGAAAAGTGATACTGAAAAACAGGCTTTTGGGGTATTTTTTGTAGCACTCAGCTACAGTGCAGTTCTATACTAGCAAGTCCTGGAAGCCCTAACTACTTGAATTTCAGTGAATTTTTTTCTTAGTGAGAACACAGAGCACTTGTATAAAAGTATAATGATAACACACAACAAGTAATATCGTATTTCAAATAGAATGAATGTGAACATTTAGCATTGCTCATTTGTGCTCTGTGCAGGCCAGCTGACTAGCCTCCAAGATCTGCTTCTCAGTTACAATAGAATAAAGTCTGTTCCTAAGGAAATAAGCAACTGCATCAGTCTGGAAAGACTGGAACTGGCTGTCAACAGGAGTATCTGTGATCTTCCTCCTCAGGTTTTGACAGACTGTTTTGTTTACTTTTGTTTAATGCATATTTTGAATTTGTCCAAAACCAATTATCATTAAATATTGCACTCCATGTTTTCAGATTTGCTTTGACATTCTTATTTCACAACTACTCCATAGAAACACCTATGTGAACAATCTTTATATCACTAGTCAAACTGAAGCCTCATGAGAAGGACATACGTATACCTGAGTATTTGAAAGAGCCAGTCTTCATTTTGTCCAGATAAGTGACTTGGTAGTGCATACAGGACAGTGATACATTTGATGTTAATTTGTTTAGGCTGCAGGTCTTCACTGATTTACCCCACTGAGGCTCCAATACCTTAGAACAGAGAAGTTCCCTTTTATGGTTAAGAATACAAATTCATACCATATGCCAGGACACAAATGTAAGCATCTTTATCTGAGCTGCTAGCTATGAAAAGGGTTTGTGCGATTTATACAACTGCCTATGCACAGAGTGGAACGCATGTTGTTCTGAGATGCTGAAAGCAATTAAGAGAGAATAAAAACAATTGCTCACCTACTATTGAGCTTTAATTTGGACTGGCCTAAATGTAAGAGACTTGCATCTGTAACTATTAGTCTCTTTGACAGAGATGAAAGTATGTAACTATATTAACTTGTTTTAATTTATTTAAAAAAACTGTACTGGCAATAGTTGACAGCAATCAGTGCCTTGCAGAATTGAGTGAGTCCAAACAGTAATATCTAATAAAAAAATCTTCAAATGAAAATATACACTATTAATCAGAATCCAGAATTTACAAAAATCTACGTGGATGCAGGTTACATGGTGTAATGTAGAGCAACAGCTTTTAAATTAACAGCTCATAGCAAATAAACAGATAGTTCTGTTCTGTTGAGACTATGAGGATGTGAACACCATGAAGCTTTGGTTACATGTACTTCAGTGGCATTCAGTGTTCAGATAGTTGGACCAGATCTGCAATAAAACATCTTTGCATCACTTGAACATTGTAAAAGCACTTGAAGGCATGATTCACCAAAGGACTTAGGTGTTGCAGTACTGAATGATGCTATCTTTACTTTTTAGAATGTCTTGCCATAGTAGTAGACTTCACAACATGGAAGGTGTCTAGGTTCAGTCTAAAATACAGTCTGTGCAATTTGATCCATAATAAAAATAAAAAATAAAATCTAAATATTTGACTAATGAAAAGTGGTGTATTGCATGGAGTATGAAACACTAAGGATAGTGGTGTCTTTAAAATCCATTTTCTTCTCAAGGCTTGGGGTATATCTGCATTGTAGTCATGGCATTCAGCTTCTCATCAGTCTGGGCCATCGCTACCAGGTGGGAGATAAAGGTCTTCTGCCTGATCAGTTTCAAACCTACCTACCTTCCACGTGAGAACTGCACTTATTACCTAATATGAGCTAATGTAAATCATAAACCATACTGTGTTTACTCCAAAATAGGTTGTAATGTTTTTAAGTGGTTTTTTTTTTCAGTCAACATTATTACAACAGTGCTGTAATGGAAGAGCTGTACAAACTTGCATTAAATTTCCCTTTCTTTTCAGCTCAGTGATTTAAAGAAGCTTTCACACATAGATTTGTGCATGAATAAGTTTACTTCCATCCCTTCAGCTCTTCTCAACATGCCAAATCTAGAATGGTTAGATATGGGGGGAAATAAACTCCAGAAGCTTCCTGATGCAATTGACAGGTAAATAAAGCTCAAAGCTCCCATCTTAATCTCAATTCCATTGCACTGAAATTCTAATTATTAAATCCTCCTTCAAAATATTATTTTAATGTTAACCTCACTGCAAACTTAAGATTTATCAGCCCTAATGTGATATCTTGGATGAGCTGGAATAACTCATTCCATAAACAATAAATTCAGTATCAACTATCAAGTTAAATATTTCTTGCCAATGACATTTTCAACCAGAGGTTAGGTGATTTTCTTGCATATGGGGCTAACTTTGAGAATTGTTGTATTCTTTATGGAAGTCCTTTATGTGGCTGTAAAAATGAATCAATTACTTTGTATTAATGATGGATATGATTAATTTTCTAAATCTTGATTGATTGTGCAAATAACTATTTTACAGAATGGAAAATCTCCATACATTATGGCTCCAAAGGAATGAGATAAACTCTTTACCAGAAACCATTTGTAATATGAAAAATCTTAGTACTCTTGTTCTTAGCAACAACAAACTTAAGGCTATTCCAGCTTCTATGAAGGACATGACAAATCTGAGGTAAGAAAAAAACAACAGAAATATAAATAAAAATACTAGAAGTTTTAAACCCTCCCTTGAATTGTATATCATAGAGTAATAGGAAGTGGAAAACATCTCTCCACAGTTGTACAGATGGACACAATACCATATGAATCAGCATAATTACACAGATTCACAACAATAGAGGATCTGGTCAAGAAAGCTTTGTGTAGCACAACTCATTTAAAGAGGTAAGCTATGATAGTTACAGTCCCAAATGAAAACGAGAATGCAATACATTTTCTCATTTCTGAAGGGTCCAAATGCGCACCTCTAATTGGCCTTTTATATCACTCTAAAGCCAAGAGCTAGGAGGACTAATTAGTGACAAGCATAAAAATGACAAAAAGTAGAACTTTGGCACTGAGAAGTCAAGCATTCAGAATTAAACAAAAAGGATTTGGTATATGGATATGGATGAAACTCCTGTACTTGATTTGAAAAATAAAAAAAGAATTAATGTAAATTTTTAATTGGTAGAATTGGAAATACTATTTTGCATACTGTGTTAGAAACTCTCCTGTTTGCATTTTCGGTTGAATTTCTGGATGCTGGCCATTTTAGAGAAAGAATGCTAATCTAAATAAATCACATCTAACCCAGTAAAGACATTTCCCATTTCAGATGTTCTGGAAGAAGCAGCACCTCTTTAAATAAATATATACAACCATAGGCCCAAGGATAAACTAAGAATAGAGAGAGAGAGAGATAGGGCTAGCTATTGCCTTGAAAAGCTGGGAGGATACAGGCATTTGCATGCACTCTGGTTCTCATCCACTCATCTGTTTGTGGAAGCTCAATAAGGCTGACAAACCTCAATAAGGTGAAAACCTGAAGACAAAATGTTAAGGACTGCAATATATTTCTCCCACCACAATTGGCTGCTGTTATTATATGGCATCTTCTTACATCAGTTTACTTAATACTACTAATATAGTAGTAATTTTAGTATAAGAAAAGACTTACTTTGCTTAAAATACTGTTTGAGGAATCTTAATTCAGTTTCAAGAGAGTTGTTCTCTCTGGACAAAACCTATTGCAAGGGTAACCTTTTCTGGTGAACTGTCAGATTTGTCAACTTCAGAGACAACCCATTGGAGTTAGAGGTAACGCTCCCTCCATGTGAGAAAACAGAAGAGGAGGAGCAACAGGAAATGTTTGGCATTGAATTCATGCACCTGTATATCCAGGAGTCACTCAAGAAAACAGGTATGGTTTTTTTATTAATTCTAATCTCTCTGGAATACAGTAAGGAAGGAAAGGATTAACTGGATAAAAGAAAGTTAGGATACATATACAAATGAAACATGAAAAGTCTTAAAATGAGTAACATTTTCCAAAAATCTGTAAACAGATTTTTACTGAGGGCAGAGGTGCTATTATCAGGAGTTGGCACAGTAGGTCTTCACATAAACAGCATATATTCTAGTAAGAACATACTGAATCCATGGAACACTGGAATAAATGTGCGTGTTACCTACAGCCTGGATAACTGGAAGTTGACGACTGTCTCTTGTATCTGCAATTTAATCAGAGTTTACATAGTGTGGGTCTTCCAGCACTGTTTGTCTCATAAAGCTCAACCTTCCCTATTTTTGGATGTTGTCCAGATGGGGACTACCAAAGAAGGATGCACGGGAGACATACCTGTGTTCCCAACATACAACATCTTTTAGCAATGAAGTATCAATGCTTGATAAACAGATGTTTCTCACAACTTGCTTTGCCTGACAAAAAAATCCAGTCACCTAAACAAAACACCCGCACAATTCCATCCCATTTCTAAATCACTATGGCGAGAAAATGCTGTTAGTAGTCTCAAAGGTAACAGCTTAAAGGTTGCAGTAAGAAACCAAAACAAGCACTTCCAAACAGATGTTACTTGCAGAGAGAACTTCATTGCAGATACAAAATGTTCTCTCTGATCTTCACTGTATATATTGTGAAGGCTTAAAAAATGAATGATTGAAATGCTCTTGGTTTAGGAAGCTAAGACAGCTTTTTTCTTATCAATATTTCATGAATGATCAAATTAGCAAAAACATATCAAGATGACAGTTTACAAAAAGTTTTCTTCCTTAACAGATTGTTCTAGCAGCATGGGCTGATGAAAGTACCTATGTCTACTTGAATAATTTAAGAGGAAATACAAAGCTATCGTGTACTTCAAAGTGAAAATTTTAACCCATTGTCTTTCAGGAAATCTGGGAAGTGGTACTTCTGGTCCTTCTCATATCACAAACGCTAATGAATAAAGAATGTAACTGTGGATGGAAGAAAATAACAAGTATACTTTTTGCAAAGAGGTGCACAACAGGTTTCAAATATTCTTAGGGATTTTATTTTTCCACTGATAAGAACTGGTTTGCATATCCGTACTTCCCAGTGAAACTGGGAAATATAAGACCTTTTTCCTGGGTACAGGAAAGACTAAAATGATTTTTTTTGGTAAGCAATGGATTAGCTTTTTAAAAAAATCCAGATAAGTTTTATAGGTTTTCTTTCCTACCAATTCCAAATCTATCGCCTGTCATGTACTTGGCTCTGGCAACAAAGATGGACTTGGGACAGCTGTCAACAGGACATTCTCCAAGGACACAGCAGACTCTGTATAATACTGTAGTGCAGCCTTGTATCCTCGTTGTTGTAAATATTCAATCCGTCCGTGATCAATCAGAAGTTTACAGAGGCAACCTATATCCTTTCGTTCTTCAACAGTAAGTATCCTAGTTTCATAAAAAGGAGGAAAAGAACAAACATGTGTCAGAAGAATAGTTTTGTTAATTAACATTAGTAGTTAAGCTTAGAAAAACTATTGAAATCACTGTAAGTACATTTCCATTCAGGCAAACATGACTTTAAATAGTTTTAAATTTGTGTCCATGAAAAGTGTATTTTTACAGTAGAGTATTTCTATAAATTTAGTAATTCAAATGTTTCTGTAAAATAGTCATTTTGAGGACCCAAAACAATTTCATATACCACTATACATAATTTTGGTTTTCTGCAGGAGTCCATTTGCTAGGAAGAAAAAAAAAAAAATCATATACCCTTGTAAAGTTTCAGAACCACTCTCCGTCTTGCTGAATGTTTGCTCATGGTCTTCTGAATCATTAGTTTGATCTTCACTTTCTTCACTTGTAGAAGCTTTGGTTGTGGTTTCTCTCATGCCACAAGTGGCCCAGCTACTCATTCTCTGAAAATAATGAAATTCTACTGGTCCAAGTCCTACTGATTTGAAGAACTCTCTGCCTACATAATGTGTCCAGTCACACTTATGATGGCAGCACAGTGCAATAACAATTCCAGCTACAGGCTTACAGTCTTCTTTGTTGCTTTCATTATCAGCAGAATTGTTAGAAGCCACCTCTGTCTTATCAGCTCTAGAGCGTTTTGGTGCAGGCTCTTCATTTTCTCCATCACAGCAAGGTGTATAACTTTCAACCAAGCATCTCAAAGCAAGATCTGGAGAAAAAACAGATATACCCCCCCAAAAAATAGCGATGAACACCATGCCATTATTTATACAGGCTGCATCATGGTTGGGAATGTACTTCCCGCAAATAAGAATACAAGTACAAATCACCAACTAAGCCAAAAACCAATTTTAAGGATGACTAAAAATTACAAGCATGCCTTGAAAACATGGTAACCCTAAACACTAAATAAATATTATGAGACCTCTGGAACTATTAAGGGCTTATCCTCTTGAATATTTGTTCTACACAAGTGAATTTGAAGTACTTTTATTAACAAACTGGCATATTGTAGGACGATCTCCTCCCTGTAAAACATGCAAGTATTTGCTCTAAAAGTTTGATATCTAGGACACAATCTATTTAGTATGTACATGTATTTCTTAAATGCTTAACTGTGTCATCTTTGTAACAGTATCTATATAGGTGTAATATTTGAGATGTCTTTACTTAGCAGACACATGATGTTAGAAAAAGCGTATTAGTTTAAAATTATTGGGACAGAAACATATTCTTCTCCTTTGTTTGCTTGGGATACATATTCAGACAGCCAACAAATTTAGAAAGAAAAATATTTCAGAGTAGAGGCAATGGTCTTAAAAAAAACCCCAACCAAACCCCAACTTTCAACAGTTTACAAATATATAACCCATGCCGCCACACACTATTCTGTTTTCTTTGTTCTACTCTATAAAAAACAAGAAAGGTTTTACTTCTGTCTAAAGTAGCCTTGCATCTATTATCCATTTACTATTCCACTGAAGTCACAGACATGCAGAATATAATTGTTACATTCGCCAACAAAGGGTTAGAGGGGAAGAAAAGCTTAAAAGGACAGTTTGGAAGATCAGTCCCTTCAGATTGTAAGATTTGGTATTCTAACTGTCTGCAGTGAACACATATATAATTCACACCTGTCGCAGCACCACACAAATGCTTCCCAATTCCTACCACTGGTAGTTTTTCCTTCTCCAAAACAGGTACCTTACCTGGAGGGGAGGGGAAAAAAGAAAATAAATCCACAACAACCCCAGAACCTCTATTATTCTAGTTGGGGCAATATTTTTTCTGGATAAGATAATTTCAGCACATTTAAAGAAATAAATGTTTACCACTACTAAAAATACAGTGGTCTGTACATACAGTTATAAGCTATTAAAAGGAGAATTTCTTTTTCTAAAACAAATGAAGTGAATTAGATCTGTGGCTGAGAAGCATATTTAACCACTTCAGCCTTTCTATACTGCCTATGAAATGCAAATATGACGTTAATGCATCTCCTGATGACAGGTGCTCTCACAAATTCTATAGTACTGACATGCATAGCATATCAATAATATGCATGACTTGCTTCATTCTGCAAACCTAAAACAAACAATGCAAAGGTAATCCTGTAAGTTCTAAAAAAACATTCAAAATGTTTTTGTTTTGGTATTTCTCACCTATAACGATATGCTATAAGTGTATAAAAAGCCAAAAAATTTACATCTCCATTTTATACATATATCATTGCTGTGTCCAAGCAACCCCTGAGAATAATCTTCAAAAACAAGTACATTTAAGCATGCTACATACAAATTGACTTGAACTCCAGTATTTAAAACCTGAAATTAAGCTTCTGTTTCAGAATTATACAAGTCAAGAAGGAACGTACCTAAACATAAGTGTTTAATATCCACTTGAAGCCTTTCAAATACAGAATCTCTCCTTTTATGTTTTCCATCCACCTGTGTAAACAGAACAAGATCATGAAGTAGGGCTGGCCACTAATAAATATAATTTTGCTCCAGGTATTAATGCTGGATTTTTCTCCTCTCAAGTCAACATATTTCCAACATTATACACCGGGATTTTTTTCTAATAAATTTGCTATTGGTGAAATACGGAATATAGGCAATCACACTTCCAAAACTTTTTAGATTTCAAGGCTTTATGTATATTTTTGAAGACAAAAAGCAAATGCTAACAGATTCAGTGACAACAGTTTAAAAATTATACTCTGCTAATGTGACAACATCCTCTGTTACCTTGAATCTTGTAGTTGCCCTTTCCACAAGCAAAAACTGAACATTTTCAGCATTCTGTAAGGCAACATCAACCCAATGAGACAGCTTTCCTCGCCCAGCTCCAAACTCAACAAAACATCTTCCTGGGCCAAGTAAATGTAATTTTTCCATGTTACCTAAAATAGAAGCCTACAAACATCAAAAGATTATTTACAAACCAAACAAATATATACACTGTGTATTGCAATGCTTGATTGAAAAATTATTACTTCACCAAACTGCAGAAGACTTTTTCAAGTCTTCCCTTCCATGAGGGATTAGGGAAAAGATCTTGTGCATACAGAGGAAAGGTATTATAAATTCTGGCTAGTCAGCATCACCTTGCCTTGCTTCCACTGCTCACAGAACTCCACCCAGAAATTTTTTTGAATGAATTTTTGGGATCAGATACACACCATAATATTCTTCTCTGCTGATTCTCGAAGTAGCCATCCAAAATATGGGTACTGTACTGGATTTTCTGTGAAGCATCAGTGTCTGCAGAGCTCTCTCTGCTGCAGTCACGCATTTTGTAATATAAAGGAAGGGAAAGTAGAGCATGGGAAGAAACTACAGGAAACAGAAGTTTCTCACTTTTAAAATTTTCTTCCCAAAACTTTCTATTTTGCCCCAGTATGCAATCCACCTCCCTTAAAGTTCCTCCTGTTCAATATACATTAAAAAAGCAGAAGGTAAACTCAGGCTCTCCAATTCTTTTTATGCATCTGTTACACAACCAGAAAATCTAGGACCAGCTCTGGCAGAAAAAGTAAAAAATTTGTTTTACTTCTTAACAAATACAATATTTTTACCTTTTGTAAATCAAATTCATTATGAGTTAATATAAAATAAGAATCTATAAGTAACAATTAAGAAGAACACCACACAATTTGTAATTTATTTCAGTACCCTAATAAACTTTTGTTACTAACGCTTAACAAAGCAGCCACTCAAAGGTTATACATATGCGATTATTTGAAGAGTATAACGTTATAGAGCATATCACATTTCCTCCACCTGAAGTGACTAGCATTATGCACACACAGTCGCTCATATTTACAGTGGCAGAATTCCATGTTTAAAAACATCTATGTCTATTAGTAAAGCAGTGACCATACCTGTTGTTTCAAGTGTTTGAAAGCAGATTCCCCATTCTTTGGGTCATTTAAGGCTTCTTGTAGAGCCTGGTGGGACAGTATTTGTTTCTTAAGGTGAAATTCCAGGCCTGCATGCAAATGCAAAACTTTTAGGTATAGGTTTCCAAGAGTTTCTGGTTTTGTAACACACGTTACAAAACACACGAGCTCGATTTGTAGCACTAACAAAATAGTCTGTTGGGAGCATAAATCTATCATCATATGTTTATAACAGAACTGTATTGTTATCTGTAGTGATATTTAAATGGGAAATAAAAGACACGAAGGGAAATCACCTAGATGAACTAAAGATCAGTGTTTTATCATTCTCTCAATCTAATTTATTCTTCTGAGTAAACTTTGACTATTAAAGGCTTGCCTACATCTTGATAACTACTTCAGATGTGTTCAGTGCCAAATGTCTCACATTTTCCCTGAAATCTAATAACAAAAATAACAGTGAAATATTTGATCAACTCAATTTAAAACATCTTATTTTCAGTATTAAGTAAGCTCACCATTACTTGCTTTTTTCAACTTGATAATTAAGTTCTCCAGCTTTTCTTTGGATAGAGAAGAGATAGGTACCTTTTTAAGGAAAAAAAAGCACCACCCATAAATACATTTTTATTTTTGCTAGTTCTTCTGTTGTGTGATAAATTGCAACATGTTATGTAGAGACTGAGCCTTACAACAAATAAACGTACTCACTTGTTCTTCTGGTATTTCCGCTACATCTTTTAAACCTGCGTTAATATCTTGAACAAAGTAGACCTTTAAAAAATAAAGAAATCTGATTCTGTGAAGTACCAGGAAGCAAAAAGCTAAATTCTTTAGTGTTTTTGTCGTAAGGTACAGAGCAACAAGAATCCACTGCAAAACAAGATATTCCAAATAATTTTTTTTCCTATAGTCTGATCCTGAATCCCCAGCAGAAACGACTGTTCTGACACACTTTGACAAGACTGAACATGTTCATAAGAGTTAAGCTGCGAATGCTTACTGGACTGATTCCAGAGACCATTTTAAGGTTTCCCAGGTAATACTAAAGGTGCAATACTGATAAGGCAGAAAATAAAGAAGCCATCTTCTGCTTTCTTGAAACAGCTGTTGAGATGTACATCCTATTCCTTCCCTCACCATTGGCTGCAACTGTCAGCCTGGCTTTCCATAATTCACTGCTAGCTTGAATGAAGCAGGCAGTTGGCTAGCGCAGCAGACGGACAGAGGTAGGAAACCACCTAGAGCCTCCCTGCTAGTTTTGCTTTCCGAGGACAATCTCTCACCAAGCCTCTAAAATGAATAGCATTGTGAGAGACTGGTCTTAGAGAATGTTTTTGAGAAAAATGAATTCAGCATTTTCATTTGTAACTAAGAGAACTGAAAAGTTGTACTGAACTACAGAGAGCAGGGACGTAGAAGATGAGGAGACTGGAATGTTAATTCCATCTCAGCAAGTACTTATTCAGCTTCTATACTGTCCTAACTGTGGAGCATGCTAAGACTGTTGTCCCCCAGTTCACAGCTGCTGTCAGCAGAACAAATCCTCTGCAGAGCTGTAATGTTTAGGATCTTAAACCTGAGAGGAAGTAGTGCTGAATTCACACTGCACTTACTGGCTTTGGCTTCTCTCTTGAATTACATTTTTTTAAATGCTTTTGTAGTTGGTCTTCATATACAGTGCTAAAATCCAAATGGAAAGAAAAGTAAGTAACAGCATTTATCATGTGAACTCTGCAAAAGAATAGGAAAAGTATTTACATATGCTTACTGTTTTGGATCAAGAGGGCACGGAATTCTCTTTCTGTCATTTTCTTCCTAGTTACAAACAAAAGGTTTTAGACAACACTTGAGCACACATTCAGTGTTCCTATTTTAGAAAAGCTGTTGAGGGACATCTCAGTTTCATAAAACATCTACTCTGAGGTAGGTGGGTTAACCGGACTAGAGAAATTGAGGCAATAATTTAATACTTAAATGGATCCCAAGAGAATAAACCCATAATGTAATGGCAGTGTTACTGCCGGGCTGAACTGACGGCCTTAGCACATCCAGGGCTCAAAGGAAGCCGCAGGCGCTGCCCCTCTTGCCCGTGCTGCAGTGATTGCTATGGCGGACGTGGTCCCCAGGACCCCCGGGGTGCCGCCGGGCCTTCCCACCGGCCCCAGCTAACCGGGCCCCAGGAGCCCATCCTCCCCAGCCGGAGACGGGGGCCTTCTGCTCCGCCGGGCAAGGCCCGGTACCTCCTGCTGCCCATGCTCTCCGCAAAACCGCCTCCCAGGAGCCACGATCATCTTGCAGAAGCGCTTCTTCTTCTCCACGAAGTAGGCACATCGCCCTGGAGCCGGACAGCCGCTTCCTGTCTTCCGCGCCGCCCTTTCT